GGTGCAGAGGGCACACCCTGGGCCTGGGTCCCTGGTCATGAGGCACACATTTGACCTGGGTCATTAGCACTGAAGACACACACTTGTCCTTGGTGACTGGCCCTGAAGACACACCCTCTGCCTGGGTCGATGGCCATGAAGAAACACCCTGGGCTGGGTCACTGGCCTTGATGACAAACTGTGGGTTGGGTCACTAGCCCTGAAGGTACCCCATGGTCCTGTGTCTGTGATGCAGAAGGCACAATTTATGCCTCAATCACTGGCACTGAATTAGCACCCTGGGCCTGGGTCACTGGCCCTGAAGACACACTCTTGGCCTAGGTCACTGGCCCTCAAGTCACACCATTGGCCTGAGTCACTGTCCCTGAAGACACACCATGGGCCTGGATCACTGGCGCTGAAGACACACCCTGGACTTGGGTCACTGGCGCTGAAGACACACCCTTGGCCTGTGTCACTGGAGATGAAAGCACACCCTGAACCTCAGTCACTTTCGTAGAAGGCACACCCTAGGCATGAGTCACTGATGCCTAACGGACACCCTTGGTCAGGGTCTTGACCCTGAAGAAACACACACAGCCTAGGTCACTGGTCCTGAAGACACACCTTAGGGCTGGGTGTCTGGCCTGAAGGCACATCTGGGCTTTGGTCAGTGGCCCCTAAGGCACACATTGAGCTTGGGTCACTGGCGCTGAAGGCACACCCTGGGACTGTGTCACTGGCCCCATAGTCACAACCTCGGCCTGGGTCACTAGCCCTGAAGGCCCATGCTTGGCCTTTAGTAGTGGTCCTGAAGTTACACCCTTGACCTGGGTCACTGGACCTGAAGACTCACACTTGGCCTGGGTCACTGGCCCCGAAAAAACACCCTGGGCCTGTGTCACTGGCACTGAAGGCAAACCCTGGCCTGGGTCACTGGTGCTGAGGGCACAACCTGGGCCTCGGCTTTTGTTTGTTAATGCCCACCCTGGGGTTGGGTCACTCGCATGGAAGTCACATCCTTGGTCTGGGTCACTGGCTCAGAACACACGTGATTTTCCTGGGTCAGTGGCGCTGAAGTCCCACCCTTGATCTGGATCAGTGGCTCTGAAGTCACAACCAGTGCCTGGGTGGCTTGCACACAGGTGCACCCTGGCCCTGAGTTACTAGCGCTGAAGGCACACCCTGGACCCGGGTCGTTGGTAAAGAAGGCACACGCTGGGCTTTGGTCAGTAGCACTGAAGGCGCTCTCTAGGCCTGGATCGCTGGTGCAGAAGATGCTCACTTGGCCTGGGTCACTGGCCCCGAAAAAACACCCTGGGCCTGTGTCTCTGGCACTGAAGGCAAACCCTG